ACAAAGTAATTTTTAGAAGAGCTGAAGGCTAAATCATTTGTTTAACAATATGTAGGCTGGTCAACCAAAACCTATTTTAAAAAACAGACAAAAATAAAAACACTGTTGTAAAGCAGGTTCTAAAATATATATTTTTTTTATTTCATGAGGTATATGTAAAATTTGTCATTATATACTTACTGAGCTACATACATTTTTAAATAAAATTACTTGGTTACATAAATGAAAGTTTAAAAATATCGTTGCAACCTAAGTCTTATTTTGCCTCCATCATGGTATAAATATAAAACCTTCAATTGCTGTTACTACTTTATTTGCTGTAGGAAATTGGTTATTCTACAGCAAGTAAGATCACGTTTTGTTCCAATCAACTGACATACTGTATAGCACTTCCTTAAGAATACCTTTCTGTCATGGTTTGTAAGTCAACATGGAAATTTGGAAAAGTCATACCAACAAGCCTTTGATCCAATAAAACCTGAGTCCACTTCATACTGGAAGAGTAAATACAGAGTTAATAATAAAGGAACAAGTAATAGGTTTATTCCATGCTGAAAATAAGAAGAAAGAAAACACAACGTTTCGACCATTGAGCTTTCTTCAGGTGTGAGAAAGACAAGACGGTGAAGAAAGACATGGCAGCCTACACATGCTGACATAGCTACCCACCTGTAAATAATAAAGGAGAATGGGACTATGTGTAAAAATAATATTAAACCAGTGTTATTCAATGTGTAATGTTAAGGACTTTGTATATCCTCCCCATGTTTGAGGGAGTTTCCTCCAGGTGCTGGTTTCCTTCCACAGTCCAAAGACATTCTGGTAAGTTAATTGGCTTCTGGGAAAACTGGCCCTGGTGTGAGTGTGTGTCTGTCTGTCTTTGTGTCTGTGGTCTGTCTGCACAATGATGGACTAGTATCCCATCCAGGGTGTACCCTGCCTTGCGCCCATTGCTTGCCAGGATAGGCTCCAGTTCCTCCATGACCCTGAATTGGATGAAGCGGTTAGAATATGGATGGATGAAGAAATGGAAAGCTGGGTGTTGCAAACTTCATGCATGTAATTCTCTAAAGGGCATCTAGTCAAAGAATCTCCATTTCCGGTTCTAGGGGTCCATAGTGTCTGCTTGTGTCTGTAAAGCACAAGCATTTGATGATGTGGGAGAAGTGTTGAATGGTCCATTTATGCCAATATGAGATGATTCAGGTTGTTAAGAGATGAGGTGGAAGGGAAATCAGAAGACACCAAGGAGAAGGAGAAGAATGGTGTTAAACTGTGTTAGTGTGTTCTGAGCTCTGTAATGTACAGTTTCTGAATCTTGGTCTCCATATCCCCAGTATTCACTAGGACTCATTCTAACTGAATTATCATTCACTTAACTTTAATATAATGACTATATATATGCTTTCTTCTAACAAATAATTTTCTGAATCAGACTTTTTCGTTCTTATCTACCAAAAACCATAGACGTCAAGAAACCTACAGAATTGTACAGGTGAAAACATTCAAAAAGGTCTAATGAAACAAGTTAATTTTTTTAATTGCAGTAGTTGAGTAAATGAAAGCAGGAGATACTTGAGTTACAAAAACCAGGATAGACAACTCCAGGTCTAATAGTCTAATATAAATGTAAGATTTTAACCAATTATATAAAATACAGATGCATAAGAAAACATACTTAGCAAGTCTTGCGAGATCTAGCTGTTGATTCACATCATCAACAGGCTGGTTATGCTGACCATCTGTACTGTATATTTAAATTTTCTGGAAGTTGAATAATTCACGAATTCCATGGCATGTGTTAAAGAAGGTATGCAAGGAGTGAAAACAATGTGCTCAATGGATTCCAAACACAATGGCTCAGTACAGATACCTTCGGTGAATTGTGTATTGTGATACCAAAAATAACCCATGACATTTCAATTAGACTACAGCTGATCTTAAAGTTTTACTTCATGTTCCGTCCCCCCCAAAATTAATATCTGTATACAGTACATAATGCTTTTTTTAAATAAAAATGTTTACCGTTTCAGAAATATTATTATTCATAAGTCTTAAAATCACGTCTAATTTTATTTTGTGTACTGTGGTTTTAATCTATCGTAAAATGCTCGGAGATTATTGTTTTTAAATGTGCTTTATAAAATAGAACTTGGAGAACAAGTGCAATTGACATTGTAACGACTGGATCACATTTTTTACATTGACAGGTACATATCTTAAATTACCAATACAAATATTTTTTGCTGCTGTCGGCTTGTTTTCCCCATTTTCTTTCACATTTAATGTAAAAGCGAATCAATTGGTCTGCAGACTTTCAATCACTGAGAATTGCTCTGTAGATATTCTACTACAGCAACAAAGTATAATGCATAATGCATGTACTGTACATAAAAGTTTGCGTGGCGGAGCTACAAGGGTAAAAGGAGACAGCTCATAGCCATTTCTAAATCCAGTGTTTGGTAAATACTCAGTTCACAAAATGGACGGTTTCCAAGAACACCTGCCGTTGATTCTCAGTTAGGACCAATTCGATCTAGATTGGAATTAGGTAAGCAAACAAGGTGATGACAATACAAAGTAAAGAATATGAAGATTTAGATTAGTCTGAGAGCGAGCTACACTGACATCTACTTCTTAAAACCAAATTAGACCAGAACTCTTCTATTACTATCACTTTATTTCTGAAAACATGGAAATTGCTTATAAACATTTAATAACAATCTGATTGTTAAAGTGTTTTCAGGTACAGTAGGCATACTGCTTGTTAAAATAATAACTCCAATAGAACCAGATCAGAGTTAATCAGAGTTAGATCTCTCTGAGCGCAAATATTATCCGTAATCCGATGCACTCAGCATCAGTATGTGTAATATGATTTAGCATATGCGTCCCGAAATTTTTATTGTTTATCTTTTCCAGGTGTGGTGTTTATAAAGATTTCAAAATAGTTTTATGGTTTTAACTGGTAGATGCGTTTACCCGAATAACGTCTTTAAAAAAGTACAGCAGTTACAACCAAAGAGTAAAAGAAAGAACCGGATTACTTATAGAAAATGTATGTAGATACTCATATAAATTGCCACATATGTGACTCTGATGGTTCCCAGATATTTCTACTATATTTTGTATATTTTGTTTCATAATGAAGAATGTATCCTACAGTATGTGTCGTGGTACAGTAATTACTAAACAGAACAAAGTAATAAAATAACGTTGACTTTTACCATTTCATAAGTTCTAGGGTGTTTAATGTATTTTGTGTACCAAATCAATTTTCTTTCATTGTGACCGTTCCGAATAAATCACGCCATGAATTGCTTCATTAATTTCAACTTCATGCGTTGCATCCTCGAATGCGATTCTATACATAAATACATTTCAGATTTCAGTCCAGAAGTATTTTCCTTCCCTTGATTTAAGTATTACTGGTTTTGGTTTTATTTTAACTCTGTTTCTATTGTTGTTGTTGTTGTTGTTGTTGTTGTTGTTGTTGTTGTTGTTGTTGTTGTTGTTGTTGTTGTTGTTGTTGTTGTTGTAAAAACGATGCAACCATTTAGAAAACGTTTGCTTTCATAAAACAAATTTGCCAGAGCCAAATAAGCCGAATCGTGTAAAACGCGACACAGCAAGGAGACAACACCAAAAAGTTTAATATGCATTTAACTATTATAACAGAAACAATATACTTGCTTTCATCTTTCACTTTTTATGAGATCTTTACTTTTCCATATATATTACTGTCGTTATTTAGCTGTTTAAAATACATTAGTTACGGATGCATATCTTCATAAAAATATTTTTGTTTGTTATTTTGTTTGTTGTACTTGCTAAAGTATGAAAGGAAACACTTAACGTCTGCTTTTAAATCGGTGAGGTCACCTCTGTTAACAATTAGGAGTTGTTGATTTGATCGTATTACTCATCGTTTTCTGTGTTTATTTTTGGTTGCTTCTCTTTTAAACTTACCATTGGTCGATTCTGTTAGCACGTAAAAAACAGAGAATGTGCCAATTACGATTACAGAAGTGCTTTTCACTTAACATATCATCCACTAAGCTTTTGCCTCACCAGTCCCTCACATACAATTAAGAGATGATGATGCTTATTACTAATTCCATAAGGGGACATCCCAACAGTATTATTCTGAACAGATTGTAGATTTATTTTACAATAATTACAAAATTAAAAATAATTGATATTAATAAAGAAGGCAGTAATTAATATGAAACCCCTCCTCTAGAGAGTAATGAATACACTTTGGTAAATTATGATCTAGTGAGCAAGTAATATCTGGTAATGGTCTGCTAATTGCCTTAGACAGAAAGCTTTGTTGTAAAATAAACATAAAAACCTGAACACTAGTTATAATGGAAAAAAAAGCGGAAGCTTGAATACTGTGTATGGTTAACAGTACTATCATATCCCATCCTATATTAACTAAAATAGAAAGTACAGAAGTTATAAAACTAAAATATCTTTCTAGATAGTCACTGCTTGCTTCAAGAAACATCCATCATAAGAGGCAGGCAACCTTGGCATTTCCCTTTAAAGTCCTCATTTCAACCAATCCAGAATTAAGTAATCCTTAGCATAAGGTCAGTTAATTAATTCAACTGAAATAATTGAAATACTGTTTAAATAGAATGAAAAGAAATTGTATAGATTTGAAAGACCAAGGCAGCCTTTTTCTGTCCTAGATTACCTTCTGTCTTAGATCCGTGGCTTCTGTTGTACAGTATAGAATAATATTCGTTGTTTATACAGAGTTGAAGAAAAAACACTTCAAAACACCTGGAGTTTAAACTTCACATTATTTATGAATAATGCATTGTATTTTTGCTATTGATTAAATAATACCGGACTCTTCCTGTAAAATGTTTTACTACAATAAAAATGCTTGCATTAAAAAAAAACTTTCTTATCCATGTATTCCACTCATATGAACATAACCACCAACATTGAAAATCATCACCATGAAAACATTAGTCATGGATGTATTTCATAATTAAAAAGTTTATTGTTACTTTATAATTGCATTGTAGGTCATGAAACATTACAATTTAAAGCAACATAAGTCATTATTACACTTAAATATACTCATTATGTTGAAGTCATAGTCAACATGCTTATATATTTACAGCACAATATTTACACCTCTGGTTTGGGGAAGCTGACAAGTTGATAAAAATGCAATTGATTTTCAAGTAAAATTGTACTTTAAAACAATGTATTATATACTTTTAATTTAGGTCAGCTAAATTTGCAACCTTGCTTTTGACATTGGCTTTTTAATCCAGTTTTTCCAACTATTGAAATGAATATATGTCTAAATGTGACCGTTCAATTGAAAACCACCTGAAATTAATGCATCAGCTACTGTGATGTGCGGTTTACTGCAGGTGAAGGCCTCTTCAGAATGGATTCAACCGAAAAGGACAGAGACTCACTGGATGAAAACTTTGAACCCACTTGTTTGGATGTCAAGTCTCTTGCATATCTGTCCACATTTTTGAAGCTCTGGTTTTCTTTGACTGCACTCTCCCTGCATTTCCTAGCAGCATCTTCAAAACGTTCTTTGTAGCAGGGAGCTTTTGACTCAGGGCCTGCCTTTTCACTGAGAGTTTGCTGAATCAGGGAGTGGAAGGAGTTTAATTTCATTGAGAGGGTATGCTTGGCACTGTCTTTGCTGAGTTTATTCAGGACATGCTCTTGACTCGTGGATGACGAGCCGTTGGTGAACGCTTGTCCGAAGCTTCTCTTGGGGGGAGAGAATGCTGACTGCTCCCGAGAACCATGAGTGAGGCCCGGAAGTTCTGTCTGCAATCGCTGAAGATCGCATGGCTCTGGTGCCACCCGGGAACCTTCCAGTTTGGCAGCTGCCAGAACTGGATCTGGTGAGTGGCTCTCAGATGCTGGCATCATTTTCGGATCCCAGACTGCACCCGGTTTCATGTTCTGGACGGCCGTCGCGTTTAGGAGGCACTGCTGGTAAAGCAGAGCGTCACTAATGTTGCTGCATTTCGGCCACATCATGAACCGCGGCGACAGTGGATATTGCCTGTAGGTGGTTGCCACGCTGACATTGGATGAAATCAGCTCCACGTTTCCTGACCCGGTGTACTGCATTGACAGGTCAAGGCAATTGGGGAGATAACCGCAAATCTCTTTGGGCGGTGCCTCCACTTGCCCTGCGGCGAAGGCCGATTTGTAGGAGTTGTATTCTGCTGCGTGAACCATGGCGCTGGGCAGAAATAGAGACGCGGCCGTCGCCTGGCTGGACTCCATCAGCTCACGCTCTTTGTACTCCCGCTCCAGCATGATGGTCTCCAGCTCTTTGTCAGCAAAAGCCCTCCTCTTCCTCATTCGGTCACTGAGAGGAGGAGGCAGAGACGGGTTTCCTCCTAAAAAAGGGTCCGTTTGAACGGGACGGTAACCTGCCAGAGAAATGAACTCAAGTGAGAAACTTGACAACAGTTCTGATTGGCACACCAGATACAACAATTACAACAAATTGGGATTTGCAGGTTGCTTTGCACACTCAGTGTGACACCTGCCACATAATAGGTAAAAAGATTACATATTTCATTTCAGCACTGCTGTTTAACAGCCATCAATATCTACAAAGACAGATTTGTCATATAACGTACAAACTTGTCATGACCAATCCCTTTGAGTCTTATTTCTTACCAACCCAAATCCACAAACCATTTAGGATTTTTTTTCTAATTAAGCATTTGATAGTGTTTTAGTTCTAATTTTTTCTCAAATTTAAAATGTGTCCTTTATGTGTCAAAGGGTGTAAATAATTCAGCTATACATTTGTAATTGAAATACAATTGAAACCAAGCATCTAACTTATACAGATTAATATATTTTCATGAATTCATTTTCATATTAGTTTTAATGCTTTTCAAAACACATTTTTAGAACAGTACGAAAGCATTACAAATGATTCACTGATTAGACAGCGGAGCTCTGTATTTCAAGCAATGGTCTTTTTCGTTCATCTTAGAAACATGAACAGAAGTGTAGTGTGCTTACAGTTACATTGTCCAAAGAAGAACCATTTACAATTGTGACAGAAAGGGAGAGAGATCCCAGCAAAGCTATTGAAAGGAGACATAAGGGAAAACAGAATTAGAAAAGAATAGAAAAGTGAGAGTAAAGATGTCAAAGGTGTAGACCCATTTATAAACTGCTCCTCCTCTTAAAATACTCAAGGGGATTTGATAAGTTGAATTGAAAATACATTTTTCATCATACATAAAACAAGAATATACTGTACCACTACAGCAGTATGTCAATTATATACAAAGTATAACTAAATAAGTTACTGTATCCATGACTTGTGTAAATATGAGTATAAGGTGTATGCAATTTACAAGGCTCTTACCTTCTAGAATACTTTTGGCCAGCATGCTAGAAGGTCTAATGTGTCTTTGATAAACAGCCCTGCGTTCAGTTGGAATCTGTTTTCCTGCAATGCCTTTCTTGTCCTGTAATAATAAACACATTGCAATGTCTTGTATTAACAGCATGATTTTCAAAATTGTACAAATTGCTAAATTGAATAGATCTAATTAAAGCCGAGTTTATGCGCCTAAACTGTATTATGAAGGTTCAACGGATAAAAACAAGAAATATTTTGCGTTTATTTGTTCATAAAATAACATATCCATCGAACCATATCAAGTCATTTCTTATATGATATCACATTTCACACGTTCGACCCCCTTAATATCTTCAGAAACAAAAAAATGAGGTCGGGACCTTACATTTTGCAAGATTGTTAAATATTTAACATTGAAATTTGTCTTACATTGTGCAGCAGTCTGTTTTCGATGTTCGACTTTTTAAATAAAAGATTACAATTTTTAAAAAGCAGTGAACTTTGAAATCCATATCAGGTCGTCGTTTTTGAGCTTCAACAGGGGAATAACAAACTATGATCTCCGATCACATAAAGTGATTGATTTTGATTATCAGCGAATTGTTGGGGGTAATCAAAATGTTCTTAGCCATTTACCTTTTTGGAAATTTAAATTTGGTAGTTTTGATCCAGAAAACTAAACAGACCAATAAGCTCCAACATATCCTATGGTCTATACATCAAAATTAATGAACTCGTATAGAGAAAAGCCAACACGCGTACCTCCGTCGCCTGTTGCCTCCTCAGTGCGACCTGCGCTGCCATGACTCGTTGTCTCTCCACAACCAGCAGGCAGTTGGCACACTGACAGTCCCGCCACCTACAGAACCTCTTGTGGCCCTTGAGACACGAAACCACTCCGTGATTCCTGCAGCGGGCACACTTCGGGGTCCGGCTGAGTTTCCTCTGATCGCCCGATGCTTGAGTTATCGGACTACATTTCTCGTTGTCTTTGCCGCTCTCTTCTTCGTCCCCTGCGCCGGACAAGGCGCAGCCAAATTCGGCTTGGTCGTCGCTTTCCGTTTCCAAACTCTCTACGTCTATCTCAAGTTCTGGAACCAGAAGGTCCGTCATGTCTACAGGGTTTTTTCTCCAAAAGCAGATGGCCCAAAGCCGTGGTCAGTCTGACAGCTGAGATGCGTTTCGTTTTGTCTATTAAAACAGAGCGTAGGAAACACTATCGGTCAGTAACAAATCAGTACCTGAATGCATATCACTTACAATGTATATTTTAAATACAGTACCGTTGCTATTTACAGTGTGAAGTTGCAAAGGATAAGTGCAGGTACAGTATGACATTTTGATGCGTATCACTTTGCTCAGCGCCTAAATTAAAACTATGGAAACGAAACAATCAGTTTGTTAAAACTGTGTCATCAAAATACTTATATGTTCATATGTTAATCTGAGTCACGTATTTAAGTTTAGTATTTCTAAATACACAAGATCAAAACATCAGCTTACCTTGAGGTGTCCAGGGGCTACGAAATTCCCGAGCTACGAAATCCAATTTATTTGCTTATTCAGTAGGTTCTCGGAAGTACAGATAACGAAGTAAAGGACATTAAATCATTTGCTAAGTACTTACAGAGAAGGTTATATTAATATGTCTTTTAGAACTGAACGGATTAACTCCATTAAGTCAAATGAACTTTGACAATTCGATCACCACTAGATGTTCAAAGATGTCATTTGGCAATCAACTGAAGTCTTCACTAGAATGAGCGACTAAGCACCACCTCTATTATCTACTCAGGAATACTCTAACTTTGTTATGATTGGCCGCCTTTCAATGTGTCCGCCCTGATTGGGTAAGTCGCTCTCATACTGTAGATAGAGTGAGGTTACAATTAAAAATACAAGGAAGTAATTAATTAACGCTTTATGTCATACCCCAGGACATTCTAGGGCAATGTTTGTATTTGGTTCATCGCATATAGCTTAAAACTAAATAAGTTATTAGTGTTGGCTAGTGGGAGGTATTATCATTAAAAATGTAAATGAGAAACCAGGAAACGTTTTTTTTAAAAAACTGGCAGAAATATATTACATTCAACCAAACTCTTAATTATTCAAGAACATGGAAATTTACTATTTTTTAATCTGTTAAATATTCTATAAGGAGCACAACCTTTTTTTAGTCTGCAACTGTACATGAGAAGTGTTTTTCCTTGCTCTATTAACACTAATTTACTCTTCATTACACTAAAAAGAACTGTTTCCCACATTGAAAGACTATAATACTCTTATCTGCTGTATTTTAATAGCATGTAAGCATGTAAGCAGTCTACTTTAAGTAGACGTAGGTTTGGCTTATGCAGCCTTCATTTTTATTTTCACATTTTATCATAGTCATAGACCTACTTGTACGTGGCATGCAGCACGTGTTTTTTTTTTAAAAAAAAGCATAATAATATAAAAACGAATTCGTATTCAAATCAGTGCCTACAGATGCAAACTTTTGTCAGGCTTTTCATGAGGATTCAAATTTCTTAAGCGACAGCGATGTTACAGGTGTAATTAATGCTACGCGGCTACATAAAGTACTTCGAGATAATTCTAAATAAAGCATGTTTGGTTTAACAAAATACCTATGTAAATAAAATGATTCAGGTTACTTCTGGCGAAACGTTTCTGCGCACTTATTTCTATTGTAAAAGAAAATATAAGTGCGGTATTGTGGAATACCGGTGATCTTAAACTTCGTAAATCGTAAATGGGTTACCGCGCCACAATAGCAGTGTTTTGTGATGGTTTATCCCATCTGTATTATTCTAAATCTTAGAATATAGGCATAGTTAAATTGACTCCTGAAATATTGAAAGGGGGGCGGAGTGGCGCTACCGTGTAGTGAGCAAATAAATGTTTATAAAAAAAATTTCCTTCTGAAAATTGTTTTAATTTTGTGGTATTGATAGAATAATATCAAACAAAATATTAAGCGCACAAATTATACCTAGACTGATAATTAGAATTTAAATACAGGATAGTATTGACAATAAAGGCGCTAAATAATTTATCAGCAGCAAGTTCTCAAACTACATTACCACGAAAGATTTCTACAAAAAATAAGATTGTGATTTCGAGGCGAAACATTGTTTTTCAAAGAAAGTTATAAAATAACTTTTAAAATACCATTATACCATCTAGAATATGTTGGTAGTAAAGTTTGGTAGATATAAAGGCCATTGGAATTGTTTATTATTGCTTCGCTTATCAGTGTTTATCCACAGTCAAGCGTACCTCTTTAAACTAAGGCATTTACAAAGTGTTTTAAAATAAAGATTGCATTCGCTTATCAAGTTTACACAACAAATGTGGTGATAAAAACACGGTCAGTATGTATGAGGGTATACTAAACAAAACTGTCAATTTGTCCTGCCTGACCTCGTGAGTGTAATACAGTATAAACAACGTCAAAATACAATGGGATTGCTAATACTGCCACACGGAGATTATGGGTCGCTAGCTCTTGTTTCAATTACAAGCATGACTAAAGGTGAATGCCCGCGGAATTTGAGCGTTTTCCCCTTGGGAAAATATTGGAAAGGGTGGGGCAAGGCCATGAAGATATTCTGTTGGGAAAAAGAAGTGCTCTCCGGGTTGTAAACTGACACCAAACAATAAGGAAAGACACAGTGTGCCACTGTGCCACTAGTAAATCACAAAACATATCAATTTTGTTTACTCTAACCCCGGGAATTATTTAGTTTATTAATCGATTTTGAATGTGTTAAAGGAACCTTTCAAAGCATTTTATCTTTTGACCAGATTGCTAATGTTTGTAAAAAGAAGGTGACTTTCTAGACAAGATCGACACCCTAATAAATGCAAACTTCAAACACCTTATTGGCATGGCCGATGAATTACAGTGTTGCCAAAGCAGTAACAATTAGCTACACACTTACATGCCTTTAGTACGTAGTATTACTGAGTGGCTCACTTTCTGTTCTTCAGACTGTGACAGGACATTACAGTTAAGCATATTTACAGATTCACAAGTGAATTTTAGAATTTAAAAAAAAAAGCTGGGAATAAACCCACATAAAAAAATCGTTAGAGTATGATGAAACAAAATGATACTTTTCATTGTAGACAAAGGGATTTCAAAGCTCAGATTTCATAAACGAACGAAATGTACTATTGGGATGTCCAGCTCCGAAAAGATGGCCAATAGATATACAGTAACGCACAATACAAATACTGTAGAAGTCACCTTGACCTTCAGTATAACGCCGTTGGTTTTTTTTTGCGCCACTCTTATTTGATGGTAGTGACCCTCTTTGCGAGACACCCATCGTATTTTAAGAGCATCCATTAAGCGTGCTAATTGGTTGCTGTACATTTTAATGTAATTCCCCTAGTTTCTGATTGTATGAGCGTTTTTGAATTAATACTTTCAAAACAAACATGGAATATCAGATTCTTGTAAGAAGAATGGATGGGACACCATAACTGTTATGTCAGTAATAAATGTATTGATACGTGTAACAGTTCTGTTATTAAACTTTTGTTTTCTCATTACCGTAAATGTTTTTATTTTTAATTTCACTGAAAACATTTGTTAAATTTACTTTTTTAAAACAAAAATAGAAGTTTTACTTACAGGTAAATGGTTACAAAAATAGGTCATTTTCTATATACTCCAAAACCACAATTCTGGCATTATTGACAAAATAATCTTCTATAACTCGATTAAACCACTCGAGAGGTAATGTAGTATAAGCCGATAAGAGCGGCAGACAGCACAGAAATGCAATAGCGCAATAAATGGACAATATTTAAACGATCACGTAGTCATTTTTTTAAAGTGGCACATCACAACAATTGGAAAAATGGCTATGGACCAGACACATACGAAAAAGAAAAAAAAAATCTACATTCTACAACTTAATAAAATATTTAAAGTATTACTAAACCATTTTGTGTACTGCAGAGAATATTGTATTCTGCTTCAAACACCGTTCACTCAAGTGAAAAGCATAAGTTCAAATTTCCGAAAAGGGCCTTTAAAAATTGTGTACACAATATGTACCACCTTTAGAATGAGCAAGTACACGTCTATCATACGTTTAATGTTATTATAAATAAAAAAACCGTTGCTAAATGAAAAAGGTCAGTTGTGAATTACGTGCGTTCCATTGTCCTTTATTTGTGTATAAATCGCATTGTATGTGGGACCTGTTTTAGTGGTGTGTGTGTGTCTCTAACATGTGGTGAAGACTTCAAGTCTGCAGGTGCACGTTTGTCACTTTCTCTTCCTTGTTAATTTATTAGCATGGTTACGGCCACAGCTACCCAAAGTGCTATCCCGGGTGCAATTTCCAGATAAAGAATGCTTTGATCCTGCCCTGTTACTCCCTATCCAGAACAGATTAGATTGCCAAACAAGAGAGAACCGCGTGTCTCGGTTTGTGAGATGTAACCACTTGATAGAAAAAAAAAATCTTGTCTTCTTTAGTCAGAAAACAGCAGAACGTTGCTTAAAAACGCCAAGAGGTAAAATGTGATTAATATGTTTTGTGTAAAATGACTTCTTATATGTCAAATAAAAATACGTCTTCCACACATAAATCACGTATGACTTCCTGAAAAAACTTTACTACTACTACTACTACTATTATTATTATTATTATTATTATTATTATTATTATTATTATTATTATTATTATTGTTTGGATTTATGGTAATTTTCAGACAGGTTAATTGATCGTTTCTTTTTGTAAACGTCTGTTTTAAAAGGTTAATACCTCTTTATGAACTTGAGATGTTTTATGTTCTTTCATAGGATTCATGGGCTTTCGAAGGTTTCTAGATTTCAGATGTAATTTAATGTAAAGTTTGTCTTTCTTGCTTGTACGAGCTTTATTGTTTTTCTAATTGATCCTTTGAACATTTGAAAATCGTTGCTTGTTGTATAGCTACTGGATATTCTTATTTTGTTGTGTTTCCGTCATATGTGAGTCGTAATAATGAGTAATCCGATCTGTGCAATATTGGACATGATTTGTGGGACCTGTTATGTTAATTAGCAATAGAGACATGATGGACTGGTAACACGTGTACATTAACTGAGTGTTTATCCGCTCATAATTTGTTCCCCATTTGATACCCACAGACACCATGTGGTTTGTTGACTCAGAGGAAGACATTTAGGTGTAGTGTGAGAAACTGTGAAAAACAAGCACTGAAAATGCTAGGTTAATGAGTATCTTGTCTGTGTTACACTTTACTGAGTATAACTTTCATAAGCCCCAACAACGAATGTGGTATTCTATTACTAGTGTGTATATCACAATAATAATTAAATCATCGATAAATTGTACTACCAAATAAAAAGGTTTCTTTTTTTAAGAGTTATAGTACAATAATTTGGGAGGCGCGGACTCATTTTAATCAAATAGATTTTCCTTCCGGCAAAAAATTTTACTATTTACTGGTGGAATTTGTATTTTAATTTCGAAAACCTACATTCCAGGTTTCGAAATGATTTTAATTTTGCGTTATTCCAACGGTATTTTCCATATATGATTTTAGTAGATAGGTTTCATTTCGATATATTGCATTTAATCTGAAAAAAAGGCGTGATTCAACCATTAGTGTTCATGCAGTATATATTATATTAAATCATTTTTCAGTGTAAGCATTAAAGCAGACAATGGTCATTACTGAATGATTTTCCGAGGGAATAGAATATACTGGA